CCATAGTTGGTGTATATTTCTGTGTTTACTGGATAAATTGGGCTAATGGTTAATATCTGTTTTTTTCTTTGCGTGTGGCTAGCTGGAATCATTGTGTGCTCTTGACGTGTAGTGTTATGGTGGTACGCCTTGTGTAGAATGAAAAAAAATAATTGTTAGGCAACTACATTTATAAGTGCTTATTAACTCTGGCATAGCCAAGGTTTTGTGCGTTTTGTGTTTGATGATGCCCTTGTTTCTTTTATTACTTTGTTTTTGTTTTTTCTTTGCTTTTCTTGGGTATTGTGAAGTGACTTTTTATGGTTTTATTATTGTTACCTCTATTTGAAGATTATTTCTTGTGGGTTTTGGTTTCGTTGCGTTCACCCGTTTATGTATATGTGTTTGTTTTCCCCTTTGCATTACCTTTTTCTCTAAATGTCTGTTTCTCTCTTCTCTATATTCCTCTTTTTATTTTTATTTTGGTTTAGATAACCAAAATAAGAAAACGTTACATTTGCCATGTATGTCCGACGTGTGTTTTACCTTTTGGTTTTGGTTCTGAGTGTTCACTGCCTGTTTGTGGTGGCTGGTGAGCTTGCGGCTAGACCTTCTCCTTCTGGTCAACAACCACTACAGGTGCCTTCTGACGATCGTGCAAATTGTCCTCAAGATAATAATGTCGACACTCTGTGTACTACTAGTGGCCGTGTTTTACCTGACGCTTCTCATGATGATTGTGAGAAGCCTCTTGGGGGGACAGGTTGCATTACCACTACTCTTAACACTGAAAGCAATTGCAATGATGAATCTAGTGGTACTTCTTGTCCACCAAAGGTACTGCAGGAAGAGGGTTCTGTTCAAACAGAAGACCATAATCGACACACTGATAGCGAACATAAAGATCCTCAAGGTGCAATTCGTCCTGCTGGTGCAAGGGATTCTGATTCTAACGTACTTGGTAAAGATAAGGCTGATGCAGGTCCTACTGGTGCTCAAGGGAAACAAAATCCTCGGGATACTCAAGCTGGAAACGTACTTGAAGCTGTCCATTCCCCTGCTGCTCCTGCACCTGACGCTGAGAGTCCAGCTGTGACTGTAAGTGAACAGGGAACTGGACGCGCTGAAATACGCACAACAGATGAGGGTGCAGCTGGTGCTTCTCAGGCTTCTGGAGCTAAACCTGATACACCTGCTGCTGAAAGTGATGGTGAAGTGTCTGTAAATGAAGGTCAACCTGAAAGCACTGGCAACAGTGCAGATGGAAATGGCGCCACTGAAACCTCTTCTCCAAACAGTTCAAACACAGGGAGTACCAGTAATTCTGATGCTGCGAATACTGAAAATGGAACTTCACCTGCAGGGAGTGAATCACCTAGTACCCAAGAAGGCGCAGGTAATACTGACACCACCACCACCACCAC